CTCTCTACCCAATATTTCTTCACCTCATTTACCATTTCTTGTACTTACTATTGAAGGAAAATCCTTGACTTTCCTCATATAACAAACCAGGCAATACTGGTATCTGAAATTAATTATGTTCATTTAAGCAAAGTAATATTTTAAAAAAAGTTACACAAAAGTACATTTTACAGATTTGGGTTATTCAGGGATGTCTGCACAGAAACTGATCCTTTATGTAGGCATCTTCAAAATGTAAATAGGATTCTTCAGCAACATAGGAAGTTCAAAACCAAAAAAACCATTGCTATTTCCAAAGTAGATTGAAACCCCTGTTGCCTGAATAAGTTTTAATTGCATTGAGAACTAACATTGGCAATTCACAAAATAAAATCAAAGCTACTACAGAGGAAGTAATATCAAGTCTTATCTTGTGCTTATCTGGTAGAAAAGAAATGTCAACTGCTGCTGAATGGTGAGGAGGAAAAGATAAATTTTCCAGATCCTCCTAGCAAAGAGATTGCATACTAGATGTTTCTAATGACTATTCAAGAAGCTTTTTAATTATAAAATACTATGCATGCTTCTGAATAGCCAGGGAACTGTACAAAAATGTAATTGGCACCACAAGAGTGCAAATAAATCATTTCAGAGACAGAAAGAAAATTCAATCTTAGTAACAGTTATGTAATAGGAACAAAATATGCATAACAAAAACAGGACACCATTTAATCTTTCAGAAATATAATTTATAGTGAATGCATTCTACTCAGCACTGCAATTTGTAATTTAATATGTGCGTAAGCCAGAATGAAAATATCATTGTAATTAACTTTGAATTACACAATCTCACATCTTTTGTTTCAAAACTAAAGAATGCTTATTATAAAAGCTCTGCTTCAGTGTTTCACAGTGGTGTTCCCTGCCTTGATTTAACATGCTTGACTTACTGACTGAATCTGTTCTATTTCTGGCTCTCAGGATTGCTCAGAGTCTGTGGGGACTGAGAGGCTGAGTAGGACTACAGATGCACATCTGTGGAAGGTTTTATGCGTGGCTTTTTTTTTCCCTGGTAAACTGGGTGATTATGATTGATGAGCCCAGCATTAGGGTAATGTTATCAGGGACACTTTCTGCCTCTGTCCTTTGTACCACCGCTGAGGTCAGACCATAATCGTGTTAGCATTGAACATAGTGCTTTATTAATGTTTCATGAGTAACTCCATAGTAATCAGTCTAGGTTTGTATGGATAAATAAAACTGCTACAAAAATCCCTAATGTATACACTGAGTGTTTTAGAAGCTACTGTAATAGGTCTTAAAAGTAACTTGATTGAATGTCTTTTCTGGTCTTTAGAAAAAGTCTAATTTTCACAAGTTTAAAGGAATCTCTTTTGAGGGAAAACCATTTCCACGTTCATTTCTGTGTTTAGGTTGAAGCATAAAACACCCAGCTGAACAATTAAGTGATATAACTCAAAACCCCTGTCTGCCATTTATTAATTTGCACAGAATTTTAGTAAAGCTTGTTAACCAATTGGTTAAATTACGTTGATTTATGACACTGTGCCTCTTGATGTTTTATAGGCTATTCTCTGCTTCCTTTGGTAAATCTCAGGATGAAATGTTGGAATTCTCGCTGTGATTTAAAGAAAATGTTTACATTCATAAATGTGCAAGTAGTATATAAGGATTTGTACTTACTCTCACATAAAATTACACATTATATATGCCTGCAGCAAGCAAAAAAGTATGTATGAACACAAGAAAATAGTGTCAGCTAGGGAAAAACAAGATCCCACTGTATGTTGTGCTGTACCACATAGGATCCTTTCCACTGAGGTGAAATGACTACTGCTGATTTTATTAGACAAGGGATCAGGATAACACTTACTTGAAATATTTCTCAGTTTTCTGTAAACATGTTCTCTGCTTGCTTGCTAAGTTGCTGTAGAAATTCCAGGCTTGCACAAGCTTGCTGTGTTTTACATGTCAGCATCACACCCAGACTATTTTTTTTTCTCAAGATAGATTCTTGTATAACAGCCAAACTTGGCCTGGGGATGACCTAACATAATACATCTGCTGTCCGGTTCAAATAATGGAATCAGACATTAGGGTAGGGAATGTCAAACTTCCCAATCCCTTTATATTTGTTCCTTTGACCAGTCCCAGTCTAGTGACCAAAAAGACAGTGTACTGGCAGTTTGTTGTATGTGTTAACAAAACCCTCCATTAAGAAGTGTTTCTGAAAAATTATTACACATTCAAAGTATTGCATTTTCAAAATGTAATTCCATTACTTCTTACTGCATTTTTTGTGAATGCTTATCTGCATTTTCATGAAAGGGATTATCCTTCTTTAGCTACTTGCTCTTTTATAATAAGCTTTGTAAAATATTATGCATATATCATGCTCTTTAAAGTCCCAAAGTTATTCACTTTGCTTTTATCCTCTGAATTCCATCCAAATATGAATGCTTCTTCTGTTTTCTAGTCACCCAGATGTGAATCCAATATTCCAGGTGCAGTGTCAAAAGAACCACAGACAGGTACAACTGTTTAAATCCTCTGTGATGCCATGATTCTCCATAGATTGCATCAAAATACACTTATTTCTAGCAAATAGAGAATTACAGTTTTGTCTAATCTAATTGCCACTTATTGTCACCCTTACTTTGCTACTGCTCTATTTTTGGTACTATTTTTGTTTCCAGACTTCTGCTTCTTATTGAACATCTTTAATTCTTTCCTTCCAAGGTGATTTTCAGTGTATTTTATGCATCTAATTAAAATAAATCTATGCCTCTTTCTCTTGTTTTCCAGGCAATTCCTAACTTTGTTATTATTTGGAAACTTCCGCAGACTTCTCACTTGAAGATAGCATATATCTGCACAGAACTGAATTTTAACTACTGATCATGCTCTTGCTAAAAGTAGATGATGGGATGAATAAAGGCCATGCAGAAACTGCCTCCCAGCAAAACTGTATAATAATGGCATGATGTTTACATCTGTGGGGAAAGAGGTGGAAAACAGTATAGGAAGGGTCTGACACATATGGGAGATAATTTTTGATTTTAGAAATCCGCAAAGCATTCAATTAGTTGAAACCTGTAATTATAATACTACTCCAGTCTTAATATCAGTTTGTCTGTCTCCTGGCAGTCTGAGCAGACTTACACATGTATGGAATCAGCCATTACCTAACTATCAAGTAGTGTAGTCCTAAAACGATTTAAATCCTGTACTCTAAATTCATGCAAGCAGCTGATTTCTTCAACAGTAAAAAAAAAAAAAAAAATCAAGCAGAAATTGCACAAGGGAAATGAAAGAAACTAAAGATAAAGCTTTTCTTCAGGTTATCTCTTATCACATAGTGCACATATCCTCCTATTAATCATTCCATCTTTGTGGAAAGGAAAGATGAATAAAACTCAATTTAAGATACAGGAAGGAAAAGTCTTTATAAAATTTCTGAAAATGAGTCCTTAATATGCATCTCTCATTATATCCTTCTATAGGTGGCAGCTTGTTTCTCCTTTTCCACAAAGCAATCACACTACTGTTCTTTCAGATGTCAAAACTAAACCTTTACGTCAACTTTAGTGTGCTTACCTTTCGGCTCAGTTTGGGTCTAGCCACAAACACTACCTACGAAAGAGCTCTGTGCAGCGACACGGGCACTCCAGAGAACCCGTGATTGCACATCCCACACTTGAGAATGCTAATAAACTCTAGTGCTCCTTTGAGGACACCTCCTTCTTTGCTAGTCAAATTGCACTTGAATTTCTTTCCATCAGCTGTGACAATTATTTGATTTAAAAAATAATTTTACAAAATATGCAGCTATAAGAGAAATCAGCCAAGAAACATTGTTCAGCTTCTTCCTGTCAATGACAGACTAATCTGTCAATGACAGAATAATTTCTCATAGTTGTGTTTCATATGCCTCAACTGATGAGGTTGCACTCACTTCCTTAGGAGACTGTTGTACATATGTCAAACTACTTACTCTTGTAAATGGAGGGTACTTCTAAATCATCTACATCTAGGAATAAGTTTGTTTTTATAATATTTTTCTATTCTTTTAAACTTCATAAAGCTACTTTTTTCTATCAATTCTTGAAGAACAATTTTCTTTAAATAGACAGTTCTTCAAATTAAATTGCCAAATTGATCAGAAAAAAATAGAACCAAACCAATACTAGATTTACAATGCTACCACAAAAGCACTATTGGAAATAATGCATAAGCTGAACAGTTCTGCAGCTGTATAGAAAACCATAGCTTATCAAGATCATAGTCCTGACTCTATAAGCAAGACAAGCAATATGCATTTTAAGGAAGAACTATTTCCAGAACAGAGCCATAAATTGAACTATTGCTGACTAAAGCATCAGAATATACCTTGCTATTCCTAAAAATTAATAAAAGTATACATATGTATTAACTCTATCAATAATAAAATTATCCATCAAATGAAAGAAAAAAAGATAAAACATAAATGTTCTTTCTGCTTAAATTATGCAGGCCTTGTAATAATTTACATCAGATCAGTTCTTTTGCAAAATTTCTTCAGAGACTGCAGTTGTTGCCTTATGTTCACATTTCTACACCTCCCGTTCATCTCTGATGAACAGGAAGTGCATATCTTCAGGCGAATAAGGAATACAAGATGTCTTGCAAGATAACAGCATTTATAGTAATCCTTTATTTTTTTTATGTAGAAGTTGGTGAGGAGAGACACACAAATTTTTTAGGCTATCTTGTACTGTCCTGCTCATGCCCATCTGATGCTCTCTCAAGAGAGAGTAAATAACAGAATTTAACTTTCCATAATTTGGGCACATGGAAGGAAAATCCACTGTAAAATAAAGGGTTCTGTCAAGCAAGGCAGAATTCAAATTCTCCTTCACTTTTTACTTTATAAATCTAGTCCTAAAGAGATGAAAACAGAATTAGGTTAGCTTGTTAAAACACAGACCCCCTTACTTAGGCTAAACTAAAGTACAGCTTACCATCCTGTTGATACGGACAAAGTCTTCGGGCTTCTTGGCCCATGGAGGGAGATCAACATCATTCACGACAATTTCATCTTCCCTGATTCCCAGATTATAGCCATTACTGTTGACAAACATCTCTGGTAGGTAGTAAAATTCTGGAATTAACTCCTAGCAAGGAGAAAACACACAATGAGACTTCATATTTATACAGAGATGTTAAACGGTGCTCCCAGAATCAGGCTCCTTTGTAGTACACATTAAAGCATTCATGGTTTTGTTTAAGTCTCTGTGCACTTGTTTTAAGAAATTTTATAATCTGTTTTCTTGTACTTACAGTCAAACTTCTTTCTCATAATGAAATATTCAATCTTTGTTTTCCCCATACCTGTTTTTACGAAAAGCACAACTTTGGAAAAGCAGTGCATATCATAAGGGAGACCTCTTCAGAATAACAAATACAAGCAACTGTATGCCAAGCTTTCAATATGAAAATACATTGGATTTTTTAATCAAGATTTAACAAAAGTACTTAAAAAGTGAAAAAGTTGCAGATATAACACTGTCTTGATTTTAGTTTCTCTATATTTTTAATTGCATAAGAAAACATGGCAATTTGACTACTTAAATAAGGAAAAATAACTCAGGATGAATGATTTTTTCTACTCTAAGAAAACTTCAAAAATATATGGAGAGAAAGATATCAGTACAACAAATGCCCTTCAAACAGATATACATGATATTTATAATGTGAAATATAGCATAGCATATTTCATGTGAAATATAGCATAGCAACTGCATAGCAACGGTCATCTGCATAGTATAATACATTACAGATAAGTAAGGGTGTGAAATTTTTCCCAATTTACAGAAGAGCTAAATAGAAATAATTTTGACATAATAAATATTGCTATTTTTTTGCTATTATTTTAACAGTAAGTATTGAACTGCAATAACAACAGAAAAGCTTTAAAGCTCACTATCTCTTTTCTAATATCCAGATATAGATTAAATTCACCAAATTACGTTGTTAAAAGCATTATGGCCTTCAGTTGTGTAACATGATCAAAACTGATGACACAGCACCTGAAACCTGAATTTCTTCATGGTCCTTTCAAAGGCTGCAGACATGCAAACCATAAAAAAAAAAAATCACTGCAGACACAAACTTATCTAATTAAATCTGATCTGCAACTCCATAGAGAAGAGAGAAGTTAAAGTATAGATGGTCCTTTCAAATTCATTAAGTAAAAAAAAAAAAGTGTATTTGTTACAATTTTAAGCATGTTTAGGGAGGCAGTTTAATTGCTTCTTTACATCATTTTAATACACTACAGTTTGAATTTAGGTTAGACTAAAATGCAATGCCAATTAATATCTAACCAGTGCAAAACACTAACCAAGTGAGACATCACTGAACTTGGATAGCTCATTATGAAACAAGCTTCTATTTCAAAAAGCAAAAAAACCCAACAATTACTACATGCAATAAGTAATAAAACAGCAGCTAGAGCAAAGCCAAAGTAAAAATAATCCTGAATATTCTATAAAATTAAAAGAAAAAAGATTATTTTCCTGACAATATTAAGTTTTATTATATACATCTCTAATTTATTCAGGGTATTTCTAAAAGCAGTCTTACCCCCTTTTCCCCAAACAGGATTCACTAAGTCTCAGGTTCCAGAAGAAGCCCTTCAGTTTGTTCTAATGAAGCCCAAAGAAGAATGAATGATCCTCACAGTTGGAGAAAACTATACAGTAATCTTTCAGGAGTTCAACAAACTATTACTAACTCAGGACTAAGAGTAGGTCATAACCCAACATATGCTACCACAGAAATTACTGATAAAGTAAGATCGTTACCTTAAAAAAAGAAAAAAAAGGAAAAATTCATAAGGACCTCAGAATTATGAAATATGAAAAATTCAAAATTAAATTAAAGGCCAATATTCAAATGAAACACAATTTATTACAGAAAAAAGTAAGCAAAGTTTGTTTCTATTTTGTATAAAAGCCTTGAAATACATACCACAGAATTTTAATTATTACTGATATTTATTCAATATGGTGGCATACTAACCTGTAATGTCACAGGAAGCAAGACTTTTGATTCCATCAAAGATAAGTTTCCTTTTTCAGTTTTAAATGTCCTAGCATGTAATTGTGGACTTTTACACCTAACATACCTGAAAGATTTGTGCTACCCAGAGATATATCTAGTGTTTAATTCAATTCTACTAACCTTTTGGCTTCAGGGGTATCTTGAAACAAAGGGATTTAAGTCACTGAGTATTTTAATGGTATTTCCATTTAGTAATTTTATCTTTGTTGCTCTTTGCTTTCAGTGTAATTTAATGTTCCCTTGTCTAGTATAGCAGAAAACATAAACAGAATAAACAAAAGTATGTGATTAACTTTCTTCATAAGATTTATTGTGTTGTGTATGTTTAGTTCAAACTGTCTTATTCCTGTGCTCTGGAAACTAACCAGTGCCAAACTTATAAATCCTCTTCAAATAACACCCTCTCTAGAACCCTAGTAATTTCAGTTACACATCTCCTGGTAAGGTTTTTTTGGTAGTTTTTTTTGTTTGTTTCTTTGTTTGTTTTTGTAGTTTTTTGTTGGTTTTTTGGGGGTTTTGTTGGGTTTTCTGTTTTGTTTTTTAGTCAAAGTAACAAAACTAAACATAATATTATAGAAAAATTAATAAACACGCTGTGTTATAGCCTCAGCATTCTCTCCGATGTTATTTTTAGTGCAGCCTACAATTTTCTTTGCTTATTTGAGTACTATTTAGCATGAATTGAATGTTTTCTTGAAATATGAGGAATGTCGCATGTGACCTTTCCCAGATACTTACATATTTCCCATACTTCGTATTAACCATTCAGCTTTCTGTGGTAGCATTCAATATTCCTCTAGTCATTTTGCTGTCTCCACTATTGACTAGACTAAGAAACCACAGCACTTAAAAATAGCTCAGATAAATACATCCTTTCTCATTTCTAAGGAATGAATTAATATATACTAAAACACAGACCTGTTATGAAAGCCCGTGGCACTCTGTATGTATGAACTTCTTAACATTTGGAATCATCCTCAAAATGTGTATTTAGCTACTTGGAAGCATAGAAAATACAAATAACGTAGATAAGTGTGATAGAAAAGTTTGTTTTTATATGTCCACTTTTTATTCTGCTGTGAAAAATTAAAGCAGCTGTCTCTTCTATCTCATGCCAATGGCAGGCGCTGGCTGGGGATGGAAAGGCGAATATTCCCTTCCCCGGGGCCCCTGAGCATGCTTTGCTAGAAGTATAAGCTGGGAGAAGCAGAGAGAGGAAGGATTAGCAAGGACAGTGAGGCAGCAAGGATGGGGCTTGAGAGGTTGCTGTGAAAAGGAAGGAGAAGACAGGAGTGAGTCTCAGCAGAGACGATAACTGGGGCCCAAGAAGCCACTGAAAGTTGCAAGAAAAAACACAAGAATGCAGGAAAAAATAACATCAGCAATGGCTAGAGATATTTTCAAAACCTATTTATATTTTTCTCAGCTGAAGTTTGGGTTTTCTTTGTTTCACAAATGGCTATATGCCAGTTCATATTCTAGTAAAGATTATGACAAGAGAGAGCCAACTCTTTTAGTGCTTTTCCTGTTATGGATAGGAAACAGATACTCAAATAAATAACTTCAGGGTCACATTTAGGGAGGTGACCTTGTCCAATCCTCCATTCTGGATGAGGTTCAGCTATGCTATCTATCCTGCAAGATATCTGTCTACCCTGTTGTCCAGAATTTGAGTGACAGTAACTCCACAATCCTTCCATCAATTGACTTCAGTGCTCTTCACTTGAGGAAGTTTTACCTAACAACTGGCTTGAATCTTTCATTACACAATCTAAGTCCATTTTCCCTTGTCCTAGCTATCAGTCCATCCCAGACACAGAGAATAAATTACTATTTTCTCTTTGCATAGTTTATTAAATGTTTGAAAAGCATTATTCTACCAGCTTTACAGTCTTTCAGGTCCTAAAAGTCTAAATGAAGGACAATGATGTATTGCTCCATTGCTAAGTTTTAGTTAGAGAAGTGCAAAATATAGTTTTAACTCCCCAAACTATCTAGCAGAATTATTGCTAAATGCTGTATAACTTTATTTACTCCTATATATACTTTGGCCTTATTATATTTTATCACATGCTTATCACACAGAAGCCAAAATAAATGCTTTTATCAACCTCTGTAGTCTTTTGATCGGAGATTGAGATTGCATACTTTTCTAACAGCATCTGTTATTTTTCATTCATTTAGCACAGAGTGTAATTTCTCAGACAACATACATTTTACAGATCACCAGCCTCATACTTTAGAAGGGTCATTGTTAAATTCACCTGAAGATAGGGACAAGGAGACTCAAAAATTAGGAGGAGAAAAATGTATCTCAGGGATGATATTTACACAAAGGGATAGCCCACAGAGGACCTTCTGTCTCCCAATCCGCTTTCCTCTTGATGGACAGAATAGTTGATAACAGAATTCTTAAAACTCCTATTGCACCTTCAGTGGCACTAGTGGTAAAAGGTCAGTGAAAAGCCAGGTCTATGCAAAGGAATGCTTGTTTGAAGCTACTGTGACCTTGAGAGGTTTATGTTTCAAGATACCAACGTTCATGAAAAACAAACCTCAAAGTATTTTCTTACTATAACACACACATTGTGCCATCCAGTAAAATCAAGACATGAAGGCAAATATATATAAAAAAAACTTCCACCAAAAAGACCTTCCCCATAAGTTACATCATTTTGCAGGCATAAAATGAGAGAATGCAAAGAACGAAGACACAGAAAACCAACGTTTGGTTTCTTTGCTCTTGCCAAAACATATCAAAGGTTCTGAATAAATCTTTCTGAATACATAACCTGACATGGGTAATTTCTTACCAAAAGAAATATCTAGGGTTCAAAGAGGTAATAAAAGATTTTAGTAATCTAAATCTATTTGCAGTACTTTCTGTCTAGTTGTCCTTGATATTTCACAAACTGGTAACCTCCTCTGCTCCCCTTTCATTCACACTTCTAATAAGACAGGTTAGCTTTCTATCATTTAATAGTCAGCTACCTTTCAAACAGCTCGAGAAGCTTGACTTTTCTCAGGTGAAGAACGACACAGTAAAGCT